TCTCTCCTCTTGTTTTCACGGGATGAGGCCGAAGAAGCGCGTGAGAGGGAGATCGTTACCTTCACAGAGCGAGCTCCTGTTAGTGCTTCCGATCAAAAATGCCGTGACTTCCAATTCGATAGGAAGGGGCGATGTCAGAGGGAGGCGGAAGAGCTGAAGGGTGCGGCTAGGTAGGAAGAAAACTGCCTCTCTCTCTCTCTCTCTCTCTCTCTCTCTCTCTCTCTCTCTCTCTCTGCGGGATGGAGGAATCGGACACGGCGTCGGCACAGGGAGAGTAGGCGACGGGATCGGGATCCAGGAGGGGTTCGGTCGGAGCAGGAGATTGGAGAGGGAGCGGCTCGAGATCGGCAGAAGCAGAGAGGGATCGGGATCGGAGGTTGGAGCTTCAGCTGGGATCGGAGAGAGGGTTTCGTGCGAGAGGAGATCGTGAGAGTGGAACCAGAGAAGAGCAGCGTGAGGGCAGGGCTTTGGGTCAGTATTTAACGAAGAGTTTGGACTCTCGATCGAGGAGAACTAGCAGGATATCCGGGAAGAGACGCGAGTCCAGCGATTTCAACAGGATTTCGGGCGGGATTCGTGGGTTCGACAGTCCGAGGTGTGCGATGCTTCAGCTGGATTTACGGGATTTTGGCAGAGCTGGCAGCGATACGAGGTTTTCCAGGATTTCTTGCGGGATTCATGGGATGAGCGGCCAGCTTTGTATAACAGGTATGTGAAAATTTTGGTTGTCTTTTGGATAATGCATAGAGGTCAACACTCTCTCTGCAGGATTTGCTGTCACGCATTTTTCCTAGTCCACCAATTCATTTTCTTCTTCCTTGATCACCTTATTTTTTTCTTTGATTTGCACCGTGAGTGGAAAATAGAAAGCTTCATTGGCATCCAGCCATTTGTCAACTCTATCCACACTTTCTCTGTTTCTTAGTGCCTTTTTCATATCCTTTGATGAAGGGAATCTTGAAGAGGTGTAGAGCGATGGGTCCGTCCTACCTCGCTCTAGGTCATTGAACCGTTTGATTGTCTGACGGTGGTAGTCGGCTAAGTCTGCTTGAGTCTCCTTGAGATGTTGACTAATGGCGGCCACTTGACCTAACATCCAGTCTAGAGTACTTCCAAGTCAATTCGACTCCATGCTCTGATACCAAACTGATGTAGAACGGAAATTGAACTTTGCTAGGAAAAGGATCTCCTCTCCAAAAATCTGAACACAAGCCTAGGTGAGGCCTTGGAAAATTTCAGCCTTGATGGTGAAGAGAAAAACTGAGAAGAAAATTAGATTTTGGGAAGGGGATGGAGAAGAAGTCCAAAACTCGTTTCAAAATCTGTAATATTACTTCAGATTTTTATTCAAAATCTGAGAGAAATTCAGATTTTCACAAAGAATGCTGAGAGGCATTCAGATTTGCTCTTCAAATCTTCCCAAAAATGGACACAGCCCGTGGACAGATTTTGGGAATTTTCCGGTGGAGAGAAGGAGGAATTTATCGGAGGGGACTCCCCCCTTCTAAAAAATTTGCTTCTAAACAGGGACTTTCCTAGTGAATAATCAAACAGAAAAGGATGTGAATTTCGGCTAGGGGAAAAAATATGAGCCCTGGATTGATACTAAGATAGGTTCTGTACTTAGGAATAATCCCAGTTTAGTCCAGGGATAGGGAGTGACGGGAATTTGAATTATATTTCCAAACAATTGTGATGAATAGGAAGTAATTTATTGGAAAATTGCTGGTTCCTCCAGGTGGAGGTGAACTGGCGGCAGGCACGGGGAGGAATAGAGGTTGAATGATTAATAACAATTACTTAATTGGGGTTTGGATTTAGAATAGAATAATTAAAACCCTATTGAATTTGAAATTCAACATTGAAATTTATTACTTCCAAGATGAGATGAGATGAAATAGAAAGAATTCAAATTCCAAATTTGTGAAATTTTGGGAAATTTTTGAAAACCGCCTCAAAATTAAATCACCCAAATTAAGTTTGAAATACAGTCATGAATGAGATTCACTACTTCTCCTAAAATGGCTTCTAATTTAAAAACTATTTGAAATTCAAATTGAAATTTCAAAGGATGAAAATAATTCCTAAATATTTGAACTTTTAGGATAAGCATTAAAGTGACATGGACTTCCTCATTTCATGGAGGACAACCAAGAGTGGCCGCAGCTTATGGAAGTTGGGGGGAAAATTTTTGGCCGTGGGTGTAGAGAGAGGGAGGAAGAAATGAAAAGGACAACGTGGATGATAAGGAAGAAAAAAAAAACCAAAGATAAACGAAGATAGAAGAATCAAACGAAAAGGAAGACAATAAAACGCGAGACTAGACTCTCCGAAGACGTGACTGGTGATCCGTTTGCCCTTCTCCAAGGGACTCACGTCACGAGCCCGGACCTCCTGCGGCTGTGAACTCCCGATCTCTCATAGAAATCTCACTCTGTTCTCTCCCAAGAACACAAGTGTGGAACACAAGATTTTCATATCCATTAACCGATCCCATTACAATAGCTTAAGGCCCTATATATTAGGCAAACGAGAAATAGAAAATTACAAAAATGCCTTGGGCCATAACACTCAAATAAACTAACATACGGGTAAGACAGGAAATAACATAAAATAATAGCTAAAATTCATAAAATCTAATTTAAATGACAATTTAAATTAGAGTCGTCGATTTACGACGCTTCATGTGATAGATGCGCCAAATCTTCGTGCCGATATCCGCATTAATGTTTGAAAGATACAAATTCTCTTCCAATCAGGTTCAACTTTAGGCATGACAATGATGCATCACATTACATTTAAAGAGGGCTTAATTAAAACATTTACAAAATTATTTATTTCGTCATTGAACTCATGTACTTAAAAATAATTAACTTTTTTCATTGAATTCATGTGCATCATCCTCATTATTTTAATTTCTCATTGATTTAATGTACGTCATCATCATTATAGGATTTAACAAGGACATTCACTCACAAAGTTATCCAATTGATGACATTTAAAATAAACTTTAGCATAATTCTTGAAGCCAAAGTAGTAGTTATGTATTTTAACTTAAAACCTTGTTAATGGTTGTGTTACTCTAGAAATAACAATTTGAGAGTGAATAGTTTGAAGAAAATAGACATTTCGAACATATGAAGAAATTTCTTTTAGATGCAAAAAATTTATGTTGTTCAAAATTCAAGGCAAGTTGACAAACCTCCACAGGTGAATTAACACTGGTTTTATTTCCCTTCTAAGCTAAGATCTTAAGCCAGCTCTAAACCTAAAAAATATTGTTTGCAGATCCTCACTTACTTTGAAATATAACAGTAATACTTCAAATTTATTCATGTATGCAATTATAGTCTTCGTACCTAAGTTTTAATGAGTTAAATTCATTGAGCAATCAATGTTTGATAAAATAAAGGTAGGCATTTTTCTTTTAATAACAATTTCATTTCAACCCAAGTAGAGAAAAATTCTAATCCTAATTGTTACCTATTTCTCCATACAAATTCATTGTTTGATTAGTTTTAGATTCACAAATATTAAATGTTGCTAACCACACATCGTCTATTAATCAAATAGGTTATCCATATCCATTACCAAACTAAAAAAAAAATCTTAAAATTCATTTTTTTCACAGCATCAACTTTAACTTTCATAGTTATGTCTTCATCAGTTGTCATAAAGTTATCGCCTAAGATTATCAAAATTTTCATCGGCATGCTCCTTGTGACAATTGTCATGATTATTTCTTACACGGTGATTTCTCATTTCGAACATGACCGTGAATGAGTTCTTCATTAAGAATAAATTCATTACTCAATTCTTTTCGGAGAAGTTGATAAGTTTCCAAATTGCTAAGGCAATTTTTAACCTCAATATTTCAATGCTCATTTGATCTTTAGTTTGCTAGCAATTTCTTTAAATGGTTTTGCAAAGTAATTTAAATATCAACCCTCTAGCAATGTTTTAATTAATTCTAATGTTGAGCTCCACTTTTAGTCATAGTAATATGATCATAGCTCGGATATCAATTTGAGATATAAGATATATTAAGATCTAAAACTGATACATGCATACCTAGGATAAGATGTGCAAATATTAGAAACACATAAAATAACAAATTTCTCAAATTCCAACGACTTAATTTAAACAAAAATCATTTTTTATAAATAAAACAAAAAAAATGCATATTACATCATTCCAAATAATAATGCAAAAGTTGTCAAAATTCAAAATTCCATAAGAAATCTAAAAACCAACATAAATTCTACAATGAAAGAAAATCACACTATGAAAAGAAAATCTAATCCCAACACACACTAGTCACTACATAATTAAGAAAAAAGAACAAAGGATAGTAGTCCCAATTACAAGATTTAGGCCTCATGTTGATGCAAGGAGAAACGTTTGCTAGAAGTTGCCTGTTAGACCGAGTCCCTCCTAGACCGATCATGCCGGTCCTTTCCTAGACTGGCTCTTGCATAAAGGGGGTGGAACCCCTGTTCCACCCATTATTTCCTGCCCCACTTTGGGGTGGGTTCCAGGGAACTATTTCAAAGGGGGAGATGGGAAGAATTAGAAGGGAAAATTAATATGAAGAGGTTGTTTTGGGATTTGCATTATTTTTGTATGCTTTAAGTAGGTTACTTTCCTAGGATTAGGATTATGTATGTTTTTGCTCAAATTAGAATTTCCTAGAAGGTTTGGGCTCTAGCCGGCGGCTAGTAGAGATTTAGGAGAGATGGATCTTCCTCTCCAATTGAAGATCCATTGTAACTTTATCCGTTTTCTTTCATATATCATCAATTAAAAAGTTTTTCTCCTAGTTTTCCAAAACGTTCTTCTCAATTACTGTTTGGACTTTGCGGAAATTAACCTTCACCCAAGACTTTTCTTCTATTTCTACAAGCATTTGCTATCATTGTCATAAAAATTGCAAGCGCTTAAAGAACTCCTATCTAATAGAACTCATAAGAATTATGTCAAAAAAATGCTTTTTATACAAAATTCATTGGAAAATGCATGTGCAGAGGTTTAATTTATAACTCAAAAGACCAGGAACTTCTCATAATTCATGGAAATCTAGCCCAACAGTAAAAGTTTCAATTTAGCACATCTTCATTCCAGCATGGATAGAATGTTGCCATCCTTAGTTTAAACAAAACAAAAAATTATCAACTTTAAAATTCTGATCCAACAATTCCAGCAAGTTTCACGCTTCCAGCTACAGTATGATGCCATGAAAGAAATCAATGACAGCCCGCAAAAGAAAAATCATAATAGGAAAGCAGTTGCTGAAGAAAAAAGCCACAAAGAGGCATAAGAAACAGATGTAGCTAGCGCCCAAAAGGAAATCAAGAATCACAACATATGTTACAGTACCCAAGCCAAGTAAAAGTATAGTGCAGTGCCCAGGACAAGGAAACCACCAAGTGCTAGAGCCATAGAACGGGAAGACTGGAACCTGATTTGTAGTTGATGCCAACTGAATTGAAACCATTTACACAAGTAAACAAAGCCTAACAAGATAACCAAAACATGAAAGAATACATCCATTTCTCATAACAATCATCATCATAGGTACATTTTCAACAAAATAAACTATAAAGAGAAAATACGGCACAAATTAATAATGCTCATCTCAATATTCATTTTCTTAGCTTCTAAAAAGTATAAATTTTTAGGTTTCTATCACCATGGAAATTACATCATTCATTTCCATCGGAAACGGATGACATACTAATAGTAAATAAATAAAACT